TTCGTGAATTGTCGGGAGATTACTAGATATAGTGTAGTCTTGTATATATATAAGACTGGCCACAAAGCGACGGAGAGGTAATGAGTAATTGAACTGCAGTCAGAGAGAATATTGTTAAGCACATGAGAATTATAGCGTTTGTTACAGAGCGTTGTTGAAATTAAGTGTATCGTAAAGTTGTATTCGGAAAGAATAAACCAGTTTTATTTAAGAAAGGACTTGTGTCGCTAAAGTTTCGTCGGAACGAATTTACGGAAAATTAGCTAACGACTGGAGGCGTAACAGTAGTGTTATGATCTGGGTGTGTGTGTGTGTGTGAATATTCTGTGTTGGAAAGTGCTGTTAGATATCCTTCCTTTTGGTGTCATTAGACTACCTACAAAAAGCCAAACAATGTGAAAATATAGTTCTGATACATTCTTTTCCACGTCGACTTTATATTGTGATTTTCATGTGACTTGCGAATTTGCATATTCAAAATCATTTTAATATAATGTACTTAACTTTCTGGTTTAGTCAAGCATTAATTTCAGCTGTGTAGTCGTATTATCATAGAATGACGGTTTATCTAACCATTAAAGTTCATAAAACACTTAGTTTGGTTAGATATGTTTGGAATTTTGCGCAAAGCTACTAGAGAGTTATCTGTGATGGCCATCCCTAAAAGAGAATGTAGCTAGTCAGTACCACCCACTGCCAGCTCTTGGGCTACTCCTTTACCAACGAATAGTGGGGTTAAGCGTCACTTTGTAACGCCCCCACGGCTAAAAGGACGAGCATATTCCGTGAGGGGGATTAGAACCCACGACCCTCAAGTTACGAGTCGAGCGCCCAAAAAACAACCACGCTATGCCAGGCCATAGAACATTTATGGTGCAATTATTGAATAATCTTACTGGTGAGGGTGTAACTCCTAGTTATTATTCTTTTTACAGTGAGAAATATCCTACTTCGTAGCTTGAACACTTGAAAATATTGTTTGTTTGTTTGTTTTTAATTAATATTCACAAAGCTACGCAAAGGCCATCTGTGCTCTGCCCACCACGGGTATCGAAACCCGGTTTCTAGCGTTGTAAGTCCGCAGACATTCCGCTGTGCCACTGGGGGCTTTGAAAATATTAACTGGATTCCTTTTACTCAGACAATGACCAATATTTCAGTGATAGACTTCTGCAGTGATAGACGTCATTAATCAGGGTGTTTACAAAAGCAAAAAAAAATCAGAATTTGTAGGATAAGCGCTTCGGTCTAATAATCGAAAGGTAACAACTGATAAGTAGAAATATGATAATAATAACAATAAAAGCGATTTATGTGCATTACGTCTTAAGACAATGTTTGTGTTTAGATGGCGCTGTTAAGATAGCGTGTGAAGGGGTAAGAATCTAATCGTGTGCGGAGAATAGTGTGGATATCGAAATTAACTCGTTTATGTGTCGTTGGAAGAAAGAGGTATAGTATTGTAAGGAGAGCACAACAGATGAGATTAAAGTAAAAAACCCTAAAGTACAACAATTGTATCTTAAATAACATATGTTCAAGAAATTATAATAGAAATAAAATTTTAGAGGTTAAAGATGGAGTAAATAGCCCAGTTGTTTACACTATTTTAGAATAGCACTTAACAATAACAGTATCACTAACAGTAACAGAAGTTGAGTAACGCTTACTTACTAACACTGGAGTTGAATTCCATTAAATTTAAACTAAAGTGGTAATTATACTTGTAGCTTAAATTATGATAAAGCACATGCATTATCTTTCAGTTTCACTTAACATATTTGAATTTTATGTGCTATTTTATTTGCACAATTCACCAAATGATGTAAATCCCTTTGTAAATCTAAAACAATAACATACTTCTCACAGCCAATTACACCCAAAACATTAACATCGTTAGGAAACTTGACAAATTTGTTTACCATTCCCTTATCAATATTGTTAATGTATATCAAAAAAGTGGTGAGGTTTCAGTACAGAGTTCTGAGGTACCCCATTTGCAACACCAAGCCAGTTTCACAGAACTCTATTTATTACAACTCTGCTTCCTCTTTTCTAACCAACCCTGAACTAACTCATCTTCCACAGCCACAGAGATATTTTTCTATACTAGTCTTTTATGTGATACTTCATCTAAAGCTTACCAAATTCACACCTTTACTCTCATCAACATAAGCAGTAATGTTTTCTAAAAAGATTGAAAGATTTGTGAAACAAGATTTTCACCAGATGAAACCATGCTGGTCCTTTAGAGAAGTTTTAAAGGGAACCTTTCCATAGGGGAAAAGAATATGAGTGAAGTACCAAACATATTTTATTAGTGTATTTAATGATTAAGAAAAAGAATATTTCCAGCCTCTTCAATTTTTTTAAAGATAGGGAGAATTTTTCTTTAATCTTTATTTTGAAGGAAAATTGGAAAACATTTAGAGAGTGCAGTTTGATTCCTGACAAGATTAATCCTAAACCTTCAAGAAACTTAGTAAAGAGTAAATGAGGCTTTGAACTGTTATTTTGAAAAAAGAAAGGCATTTAGGAAATACCTGACTGTTGAAAAACTAAAAAAAGAATAAGACAAGAAAAGAACTTGGAAAATTATGACCTTTACTGTTAGCAAGATTCTTGAATGAATTTATTGTCAGGAGTAATTTGGAAGGTTGGCATATAATTCATAGTATAGTTCTAGAAAAGTTTTCTTAAGAGCTTTACTAGTTGAAATTTTTGATAGGGTTTGCATTTATTTGGAAGATGCATCTTGGATGAAAATGTGTATCTTGACTTTTAGTGCTACACAAGAGATTATTTACTAAATTGGATACTGATTAAAATGATGGAGGTAAAGCAGGGGATGGGAAATAGCTTTAGTGCTACAAATTATGAAGTGGTAATAAATATGTATTTTGCTTATTAAGAAATGTAGTAATGAGATGCTTAAGGGGTTTGTTTTCTAACATTTGTTGTGGGACTGACTGTCAGCATGATGACTTGGATTTAAAGGCATTCCATTTCTATTAATACTTTGTCAAAGAGATCACCTGGGGTATAGTAAGGCTTGTAGGTATTATGCATTTGATTTAGTTTTAGATGAATGAAAACTTGAACACTCTTCAGATCATTAGTATACTTGCTCACAGTTTGCCACTAGATTGGGTAGAACTGACAGTCAAAACTTCTCCAAACTTTGAAATGTTTTAAAACTTGATTACCCATAACATCAGTAGTGCCAGTTATAAGCAAAGTTTTTTTTTGCAAATAAAGATTCTTACCAAAGTTCAGTTTATTTCATAACATGAAAATGTTACATGCCTATTAATTAAAACAATGCATGAGTTCTTAGAGTTTACATGCTATAAATTATTCAGTAACTGAGCATCATACACTAAATGCTTCTGTTAGGTACTGCATATAAAATAGCACTTTAGATGGAATTTTTGGCTGCCAATTTTGTCAGTCCAACTGACATATTCTGATATCAAAATCAAGATTTCCTGGGCAGGGATCCGTGCATACAGAATATGGATCTAAACTGTTAGTTTTACACTCGTCTGATTTGAAATTAAGATGGGATAATTATTAAGAATGAATAAGAAAATATGAGCATAATGTCATTAATTTTTATTATAAACATTAGGCCAGTGAATGTTTACTTGAATTTTTTTGAGTTGATGACATTTGGTTAAGTTAGATGTCTTGCAGTTGAACTGAAGTTGAATCTTTTGTTCACGTATTATTAGGTAACAGTGCTATTTGTCAAAACTACTTTCTTCTAAGATTAAAGCTTTCATATAGCTTTCAGTATCAAGTGTAATATACCTCATTGTCTGACATTGTTAATTCATCACTAAATTGTTTTAAAAGATTGATTTTTATATAAGATAAATAGCAATTTCTTTGCATATTGTACTTTTCTTTTCAGATTTTAACTATTGGGTAAACTAACCATATAGTATTAAATGAGAAATCTAGCCAGATAAATATTTAAAGATTAATGTGTAATGCCAATTAAAATCAATCTATTGCTAATATATATATATATATATTTTCCCTTACAGTTATTTCTGGTATGTAGAATTGTATATCAAGTCAGATGTTTTAAGATTCAACCAGGGGTGAAATTCTCAAAAAAAAAGTAGAGGTATTCAGTTGGGTGAACTGGACATATTTTTGAAAAGAAGAAAAATAATCTACATGTAAACATAAAAAACGACAATTTGAGTGTCAATGAATAAATGCTTTCTGACAGAACAATGGAAAGCACACATATCCAAAACAGCAGCTAAAATAAGTCCCACTAATAGTAATGCCTTAAAAAACAAGTTCTGATACTCAGTACTGGTGAGTACCAGCAGAATTTCACTCCTGGATCCAACCAATTATAAACAGATTAATGCATTTAAGGAAATGAATCATCTGGCTACAGAGTCATGGTTAAATTTTGATATTTAAAAGTTTGCTTTGACTTTCATGTTAATAATTTGAAATTTGGAATATAATTACAGAAAAATGGCAAAAAATAAGAAAAAACACAAGAGTGCCCTGAACTTCAGAGGAAAAAAGATTTTACCACAGGCTAGAATTCAGCTGAATGAACTGGTGGACCAAGTTCTGCAAAGTAAGGGAACAACAATCATTTGTTAAGATGAAATTTACAATACATGTGAATTTTAGTCTTTATTTGTTATGACAGTTAGGATTGAACTTTACTATATTCTTTTAATTTTGCTAAGTATTTCGTGATCATCTTTACACATATTTATCTTATACTGGTAAATTACTCATGCAGTATAAACCCCACCAAATCAGGTTTTTGTTCTTTTTGTAGTGATTTAGTATTTTGAAGCATTTGATGTTTCAGATGCTTAATTATAATGTTTTCTAAGTTTCTAATTTTTAAAGCAAAATAACTTATCTTCAAGATAAGGCTGTTCTTTGCTTGTGTCAGTTCATTGTTATGAAAGTCAAGGATTGATTATTATTTGGGATCTGAAGTGCAAACAGTTGTTCATGCAGCTCATTCATTGGTCTTATACAGCCTTATATCAGTTATCACTTTAAAGTGAATCGCTGAGTTTAAAGTACTTCACATTGTTCATACTTCTTGGTTAATAGTAAACCTAATATAATATTAGGGTGTATTTATAGATATATTGATTACTTGTTATAAAAGATAATTATATCTATACAAATCAGTAGTTAGGCCTCATGGGGAATACTGTGTACAGTTTGTACTTGCTTATCTAAAACAGGATACTGCCTTACTGAAAATGATTGAGAGGAGGGCTACTAGGATGAATCCTGGGTTGGAAGGTTTATAAAGATATGTTAAGATCTTTTATTTTCTATTAAGAAGAATAGAGTATGAGGTGATCTTGTAGAAGTTTTCAAGATTGTCTAGGGGATTGATAGGATAAAGACCTAATATATTTTTGTTATATGTTCTATGTATAAAAGAACGAGAGGAATTAAGTTTAAAATTTGAAAAAGATAGGTTAGACTCCAGTTTAAAAAGTTCTATTTACCAAAGAGGTAAATTCTGTTGAGAGCAACACACAAGATAGCTTGCCTGCAATGATCTAAAGAACATGACCACTGGACTAATGACATTTGAAGCAATATTCTTTTTTTACAGATGTGTTTTCTTCACCTTGCAGCCAGATAATAAGTATGCACTTGATTGAAGAGAATCTTGAACCAGATTCAACCTCATTTTCATAGAATAATGTGATACAATGGTGGTAATGGAAATATAGTGGCAAGGAATAAGCATTGGTTAGAAGTATTAGCCTCCACACCATATAGATTGGTACTAGGGAACATATTTTATAACCTTTCATGCTGGCATGTACTATTGAAATTGGCACTGATTTTGGACTAAAGAAGGGTAATGTGCACTCTTACTATGCTAAGCTAGTTGACACATTTTTTTTAAGAAGAGGATATTAATTGAATAGAGTGACTTGCATGCTCACCAGACCTCAATCCTATTGAGCACATGTGGGATGGTCCTGAGATGTGAATGTAGACTAAAAATATTCCAGAAACAGCATATAACATCAATATCATGCTGCCCTTGCTGTTTATGGTGACTATACTATATATGGAAATGAATTTTCTTCAGTTTTAATGAGGTAAAGCTACCTGTATCAAATCTTTATTTATAAACATGAGATGAATGGCCAGTCATTTGCATTTCAGGTCCTATAATGTTGTAATGTCTAATTAAAAAAAAAATGTATGTGTATGTTATTGGTAACTTGCTGTACAACTTAATTTGTAGCTTTGGTTGTACAAGCCATTCAGATGATATTATACTTATTAACCCCTTCTGTGTCAGGTTTTTTTTTTTGGAAAAGAGATAAAAAAAAGGCAGTTTGTTATTTTCACTTTTTGAGAAAAAAAAGCCTATTGTAATACATGAGAACATGCCAGTAAATATGGGCAAATACTTAAAAATATAGTGAGAAACAGTTTATTTAGGCAAATATTTTTGAAACATGGAGGGTGCCTGAATTATCTTGGACAAATCACCTATTTCAAGAAAGTTTTTGTTCATGCATCAAGCCTTTGAATGAAGTTCCACCCCTATATATAATAATATGTTCTGTGCCAGTCTGTGATGAAATTAGCATTAGAATATAGATATCAACCATATGGGTTGCTTGGTTAGGCTTCTGAGTCACTATTGACTCCTGTTCAATGTCTAATTCATTTTAGAGCCATTTTCATCTCATTTGATGGGTGGATATCAACTTTATCCTTTACATTTCCAAAACCTGGAGCTTCTCGTTTCCAATGCTCTCCTTTCTCCTTTTCTTCCTATGCATGAAATTGTCTTTTTTTATATATTTTTGCTTTTTTTTGTGTCCCCTGTAGTGGATTCTGGCAAATCATCGGAATATATTCTGTGATCCTCTCTCTTCTCTTGTATCTCTACCTCCATCTCTTTTCCTCTTGCTTTTATTGTTGCTCAAAATTTTCCTCACAACTCTAAGCACCCATCTTTTTCCACCACACTCAGACTTCCACCTATTCCCAGATATTTCTTTAGCCAGGGTGGGGCACCTTCACCCTTTAAGTGTTTAGAGATCAAACATCTTGATATATGGGCAGTTCAATAGACCTGGCACCTTCTTTTGTTACAACTATCTGATTATCTTGATATGATCTATTTCAACAAATCTATTGCTGTTTCTTACATCAACTGACAAAGAGGTACTTACTCTCAGGATATCTGCTTCTTGTTGTTGAGTTCCACTTTCAGGCTTATGACAACAACATCTGGTTGTTGGCCTTCCATGTTCTGGTAGCTTATAATTTGATGACAGATAGGCTGTCACGCCTGGAGTGAATCCTTCAGAAAGAGTAGTCTTCTGTAGATTTGTTCCTACTTTGGGAGTCCTTTAATTAGTGCATTTGTATCTTCCCCTTTACACCAATCTTCCAATTTTTGGTAACCAGTCCCAGACTCCATGGTCCTAACAATATTCCCTCTGAGTCTGGGCTGTTCCTTCTTCTTTTCCTTTCAATTTCTTCCCAGGGTGCTGTCTTTATTTTACACCACCCCTCACCAGGTTCTTCTGTTTGGCCAGCTCAAATATAATTTTCATTCCTTCACCTGTCAGTGATCCTGGGGCCTCTGCCTATTTCATTTTGGAGGTTCCTTTTTATTTCACCTTTAGACATCCATCATTTACCAAGATGCTGCACATTTTCATCTTTGTGTGTGGTTTTTGTCCAGGCAGGTTTCTTCTTGCAGACTAGTCTGTCTTCTTGCTCACTTTTGTTTATTATTCACCCTTAAAATTTATCTTCTGGTGGATGATTTATCAGTGCTGATCTATTTGCTGTTTCTTACTGTTTCCTCTGTTTCTTTCTGCACAATCTTTGATAGATTCACTTATGTTACTCCGTGGGTTACCATAGTTCAATCCAAAACTTCAAATAATTGTCTACTTTTTGTTCAGAGTCCACACAGGTGGGTTCAATTACTTTATAATACTCTTTTACAACACAAATCATTCTCCTTAATCTCTGTTATTACACTGTGAAACTCACTTTAAATATTGCCTGTTATGACTAAACTAACAATCATGCAGTCTAACTTCACTTTCACCAACTTAACATTTTCTGACTAAACTTCACTAACACTCAATTCGTTGCCTATATATATACGTGGTCCAACTGAGACCTAGAACTTTCTACAAACTATGAGACTCTGTGACGTTAAATTACAACAGTTGAACTACACACATAACATACAACTCTTACCAAGTTATGTAACGAAATTTGTCATAACTATCCCCTTTAAAATAATTACTTTTAACATTCTTGTTATGAAAACTAAATAATCATTAATATTAAATCATTAAATAAACTGAATAATAACTCGTAAACTAAACAATCTTGTATATCCAACACTCATCTTAAAACTTGTGTGATTAATTTTTATCCTAATAAGAAAGTTCATACATCAGGGAGTGTAGTGACCGTTTACTAGTTTCTAATGAGATTTACAGAGAAACAAAAATTGAACACAGTGAAATAGTTCTGGTTATATTAAGACACTGAAGGTACTATTGAAAGAAATGGCAATAATTTAATGCGCTAATGCTCAATATGTTCTTTTTCATTTTTGAAAATTTTTTTTGCAACAAATATTTCTTAAAAGTTTAGTCATAATGATATTGTTGTCTAGGTAGCAGGATAATAAAATATTTGTTCTTTATCAGTTTCTTTGAAAACTGGTTTCATTAAATGTCTTTTTTTTATATATCACATGCATTCCTTTTTGCCTATTTTCACTTGTTTTTCATAGCAAAGCTGTGCCAGAAAAAAACAAAATCATTGTGATTTAATTTGGGTGACAGAATCAAATGAATTTTAAAAAGTGTTTTTTTATTATATCTGAATAAAATGATTCAAAAGAAATATTAAATGGATATGTTTTTTGCTCTCTTTTCATAAAACTTACAGCCATATGTATATAATTGTATAAAATGTATATATACTCACCATATGGCTTTGTGTGGTTTGTATAGAATGCACAACCTTGGCACCACAGAATCCTAAACAAGAGTGGGAAGAATATCGAGAAATTTCCAAGATTTTGCAAAAGATATGTACTATTGAAAAAGGTATGTTAAAATGCTGATTTAATGATATTCTTTATGGTTTAATTGATTAGTGTAGGATATAACTTAAATATTAACTTGTAAAAACCTTGTCATCAAATTTTTGTTTTTGTTATTTTGCTATATGTTTATGTTGGTATTCTTTACTTGCTATGCTGTTATAAATATCTAGTAAAATATATACATGGGTATATATTTATATATATAGGGTCAAAATTTACCCTATAATGCATGTATTTCACAAATAGGATATTACCAAATACAAGTAAAATGGAAAAGTTTATTTAAGGTATAGGGTTAGTGCAAGTTAAAATGTTCTGGTGCAAGTAAGTTATGTCTACTTGTGGTAGGCATAATTAATTTTTTTTTTTAAATTTTGAACTCTGATATATTTTCTGTAATAATTTCAGATGATCTACAAGTTTAAAAAGTTCAGTTTTGTAGTTTAACTATGCAATACAAGACACTTTAATTTGTTGCAGTTCAAGTTATTAAAATTAAAAATGTAAAAGTGAATTAACCAATTAGGTTAATTTTTAATAGTATTTTTTATTTTTGTGTTTAAATGTACATAATTTTATTTGTTCAGTACATACAAAGTTTCATTATTATTATTAATTTTTTTTTTACAAATTAAACCAAATTTTTATATATTGGTTTCTTTCCTAATAGTTGTGTGTGTAAATTGTAAGATTTTATCATTCAAGCAATGGGTGATTTGATTTGAAATTCTGTGATAATAAATTCAAGATAAAAGAAAGACAGCAAAAACTGCATAACTTCCAACACGTAATAAATAGCAAAAGTATACCATATATATAGGTAGTACACACATACAGATGTTTAAATGTTCAGTAATTTACAAAACTTGATAATTTGTTCATATGTGATTTTTTATCATAGAGTACATGTTGCCACTACCAGTTCGACAAAACCACTGGGAAGGGTTTCTAGCATGGTGTAAACAGCATGGTACTCAAAGTGATAAAGTCACCATTCAGCCCTTGGATAAAGAAGAATATGGTATTGTAGCAAAAAGTGAACTGAAGGTATGAATTATCATTTCTAGTGTTTATACTTTTAAGTATGTTTTTATACAACATATTTCCTCATACCTCATGTTTTAATCTAATCTTCCTCAGGTATTTCTTAGTTAAAACATCACAGTGTTGTTCAGCTAACATAAGCTACTTGTTTAAATAAACATAACAAAAGTAATGTCATGGTGTATTCATCAGTTATTTTTATTTCTTGGGTAATAAAATGTACAAAAAGTTTCACTCGTAGTGTTATTGTATTCATGAATTATTTTTCACAGATTTACATAGTTAGTAAAATGTACAAAAAAAAAGATAGCCACAACTTTTAATGTTTTCATTAATTATTTTTAAATTTACATAGTTAACAAAATGAACAAAAAGCACTACTGTCAATGTATTCATTAATTATTTTTACAGTTACATAGTTAATAAATTGTACAGAAATATATTTTTATTAGTAGCTTGCTATTCAATTTTTTTTAGATTTAAATCGGTAAAGCCTGTGTGACTGTGTTATGTTCCCATGGGAAATGTGATACGTTAGCTTATTTGTATTATTTTGCTTTCAATATGATTTGGTATCTACTTAGTCAAAACCTGTATTCATTATTAGTGCATACATTAACATTTTAAAATGTTTGGATTATATCAGGGGACCATAAAATTGAAATAATACTGTTAAATTTGGTGTATGGAAATGGTTGGACACTGCTAGGAAATTAACATGTGGTGTAAAATTATATGACTGTACCATAGTATGAGCTTATAACATACAAAACATTTCTTGTAGTAAGGAATGCTGATTGTATGGAGATTAACTGGCTGTGAAGTACTGTATAAACAATGAATACTCAAAAAGCTTCCTCATTGTTTTGATTTTAAACTGATCTCAGTTCATTTCCAGTTGAAAGCCAATAGAAAGCAAAAAATGGTCATTTTCAGATAAAGATTAATTTACTATAGTTAGGTATGTAGGAGAAAGCTGCAGGTCTAGGTTGGAAACAAGGAAATAAATGCATGCATATTTTATGTCAATATATTTCATAGCTATTTATCAAGTATCATGGTGTTCATTTGTATTTTCTCTCTGTTTCTTACAAATTCACTTGTTAGTCCATAGCTTTCAATAGATAATATTGGTGATTACCAATTTAACTTGATAAGTGAAGTTTTCATTTTAGGGGCCAAAAATGTTTTACAACTGTGACTAAGTTATGGTGATACATTTCTAACACTGCATGTGAATGACTGCTCCATTGTAAATCATTATTGTGTACAAACTATTCAGTATTTTATGTACATTCAGGGTAAATGTATTATATGCTCACAGTTTATAGTTTTGCATAATGTAGGAAGTTACTTAAAGAAAAATAAGTTTTCGTCTCATAGCCATATTAATATTTGACTGTTCAACATGACCAAGCTTATCTAAACATTTGTGGTTGTTGCTTAAAATCCATCAGGTTTTTGATCAGTGACTGACTATATTTCTTGTCTTGGATTCATGTAAGATGATAATGCTAAGGCCACAAACAAACAAGCAGTAAATAATAGTACTGCAAAATAGTTGTTATCAGTCACAGCTGTGGTGTTTTCTAGCTTTCCATAATCTTGCACATTTTAAGTGGATCCCAATTGGGCATTATGTTCAAAAAAGTTCCACATATAGGTCCATATTTGTTCAAGATTAGATTTACCTAAAATATCAACACTATCATGTAAGGAAAGTTACAAAAGTTAGCAGTACTCTTAATTTCTGACTCATTCATAAAAGTGAATATACATACATTGGTTTTTTACCGACCAGATTAATTTCTGTCAGACTCCCATGTTTAAGACATTTTATAGTATGATAGCTGTTAAAATATAGTTTCTCTAATTTTCAGACATGATAATCATTTTATAAACTAAAGTCCTTGTGACTGTATTAATTTTGATTGATATTTGTTTGCTTATTCAATAAAATATGTTGCCTCTGCTGAGTAGACAAATTGTATTTCTTTTAATTTCTATTTCAAGACAGTAAGCACATTCTATTTGGCTTTGAGATTGCTGGATATGGGGTTTATAGCATGATTTGTAGTTTTGTAAAACACTAAAATAGAGGTAGAGAATGAATGAATAATCCTAGGAAATTGTTTGTTAATACACAAATTATAAAGCACAATTATTTAATATTATTTCTTTACTGTTTAGCTATGAATTGTACTAATGAGATTCAAACAAAATATAAAATCATTACATATATTTTTATATTAGGAATGTCAACCATTTGTGCATTTCTTATCATGCATAATCTTTGGTTTTGAGATACCAATAAAAGATCTATGGCTTTGTATCACAAGAGTTGATTTCAAAACTTAATAAACAAAAAATACTTTTTAAACACTTCAAAAGATTAGCAGTTTTTCATTGAATAAGACACTGACCTGTACAATAGTTATTGTACTTTCTTTGAATTACTTGGCCCAGGAAGAATAAATATGTTGAGAAAATTAGAAGTTTTAATTTTGTTTTTTGTTGTTCTCAGTACTATCAACATTTATAATCTTTAATTCCATCTATAATCTTGTGATAACATTTTCATATTTAGAGAGGTTATATAAGATTAACCCTCTCGCTTTATGGTAGATGAAGATGTACGTGTTACAACTTTTTACAGAGTTGCGTTCAAATTTGAATAAAACTACTTTATTAGCAATGTTTATGAATAAACTTGGCATCAAAATGTAGTTAATAAATCAAGTTTCAATATTATATAACTTTTAAGTTCTTAATTTTATGAGAAACTATTTAAATAAATTCTCAGTCTACCCTAGTATGAGAATTGTTACATTTGTTCTCTAGGTCCTTTCTCTCTCTTCTCTAATTTATTTACCATCCATCTTTGAAGTATGAAATTGAATGTAAATTACTCATTATAATGTAGGTATTGTAATTTTTATAGCCTTCACTATTTTTTTTTTTACAGAGTTATAAACTAGAAAATCATACCCACTTGCCATGCCTACCTGTTACATCCTTTCTTGCACAAATTGCCAGTAATTCTTTCTGAGGTTTTCAGTTATATCATTTATAACCAATATAAAAACAAGGTTTTAATCTGTTAAATGACATATAATACTTCATTGTTTTCAGAACAGAGTATTGTCAATTTCATCTTCAGTTTGAAAGTTTATCTTGGTGTTCAGATTGAGCAGCTAAGGAAATTATTTTAAGCCCCTCTGGTCTTAGTTAGAAAGTCAGTTATATCATAATAGTTATAGAACATCGTTTCCTTTGTGTGTGATATTATTTTGTGTTCTTAGGTGCATCCTTTTGTTAAATAAAAGTTATTTGTGAAAAAGTAGTCTTAAATTTCATTGACAACTGACAGCGAAAAAAGAGGTCAAAAGTAAGTACATATTTTTGTCTTTTATGTATATCTTTTTATTTATTGTTATTAAAGACACTAAAATATAAAAATTAGAAACATATTAGGTTAGATTAGGTAAGATAATGAAAAAAATAATTCTTTGTGAGGTATGCTCGTGAGCAGCTTGTGTATTACGTCATTCAATATGGTAATGTGAGCTACACATTTGTGAGTTACCTTCAACTTGTGTGGCAGGATTATTAGTTAGATTTGGCTCATAGAACAATAAAATTAAGTATGAACAGGTGTAGACTATTATGAGCTTTGAGCTATTTAGGATAAACATTTGTAGTTTTCTTTTACAATCTACATTTATTCCAGATAGAATAAAAAGAGTAACTTAGGTTTATTTTGTATTTTCTTTTATGGTGATTATGAGGTTGGTCCAACTGGCTGAATCTGTATAGAGTTAGGGTAGAGAAAATAACAGATAAAATATAAAGTTTTACCAGAAAAAACGTTTGATATTTACTTAGGAGACTTGAGAGGTTATGTAAATGTAAATTGAAAATTTTCAGATGAAGAAAAATATTTTTTAAGTTTAATATGAATATCACTTTGCATTTAAAGTTGTCAATACTCTAACTCCTTATATTTACAGACAGATCTTTAGTAAAAATACTTAATTAAAAAACCAGATTTTTTATGTACAAAAGACTTGTAACGTATAATAAAAGCTTGCAAAATTTTGTGAAGATATACAATGCATATTAAACATTATAGTATGGAAACTGATGGTTACTTTTTAGTTACAAGGTCGGTCACAATTACCACCCCATTTGAAAAGAGTTAAGCATCAAAGTACTGACTTGTTTTTGTACTGTTCAGTATTGATGGAATCTACAGGTTGCATCATATTGTAAAGTAATTATATGCTGTTATAACATTCACTATCAAGAATTAACCCCCAGACAGGTTGATGAAATCACTCATTTTCTGTACAAAATATATAGGAGGACTTAGCAGTAATTAGTGGGAATAATTACAATATATTTGTTTACATTTTTTTAATAACTGGAGTTATCATTTTTTACTTCATTTAAATGATAACGTTGCAGTATGATAGGAAAAGGAATATCTTTCACATAACAAAATAAAGTGGGCTTAGATAATTTTGCTCTCAATTGTATCAAGTTTCTTTTTTTCACTGACAAGGCTGCTGTGTTCACATTAGGCATTATTGCATCAGTATCTGTTCAAATGGAAAAAGAAAATCGCTAATAAGAGATTTAAAAGATATATATATATTAAGGAATGTAAAATGGCTTTAAAAGCGTATTATATACATTAAATTTTCTGTTTAATATTTAACAAAAAGTCAACTTGCTTATAAGTTTGGTATGGAAAAAAGTTGTTTTAGTGTACAGTAGTGATCAAAAACACATGAAACTGCATGTGGTGTTTTTCAGTTCAAGACAGAAAATATTTGCAGTCTTATAGAATTAAAAACTTTATTTAATTGATTCTTAAAAAATATTATATGATATCTTCTCAAATTTGATACAAATGTTATGAAAATAAGATATTTTATTTCCAGAAGCTTCATAATCTGTAGAAAGTTATGAAGTTTCAAACTTTTTCATTCAGTATTCATTCAGCAATTAAACAAACCAAACAAATGGTGGTTTGAATTGATGAACCTGGGTGTTTTATTAGAGTTAAAACATAGAAATAAGGTCTCAGGTAACAAAGTAAGCATGAAATACTAAAAATAGCACAAATTAAAAAGTTAGCCATATATAATAAAATAGCACAGCATAGCATAATTTTTACTCGTATGATTTGAATTTAGTGTTGTTGCCTAATACTAACCTGTAGAGAAATCCTGCACCTGTCATTCTTTCATTAGTTTGAAAACTTTTTTTTTTTTAAAGAAAGCTCAAATAAATATTTACTAACTTAAGTAAATAACTTTAATGCTTTCAACAACTTTTTTTCTCACATTGTGTTTGGAATGATGGATGGTATAAAGTACTTTAAGATTAAGACAACTGTAATCAAAGTCTATTAGTTTTGAAATTAGAAATGTTCACAAGTTTTATAAAATTGTTTTTTCTGTTAGGAAGGTGAAGTTTTCCTGACTGTACCTCGAGATTTGATAATGAGTACTACAACAGCACAGAAATCAAAATTAGGTAAGATGTAACATTGTTAACATAATCATCCAGTTTTACTGTGAGGGGCTGGGTGTGGATGGTAGTTAATATGTTTGTACTGTGAATCCAGAGGGTCGTCATTCATATCCTATTGCCTTAAAAATGTACTCTGCACTTTGAGGTCAAAGGTTCACTATAAGAGTGATGATAGAATTATACTCTTTAGTCAGACGAGAATAACCCAAGAGGTGATGGTGGGTACTGTTAACTAGCTGCCTTTCCTCTAGCCTGTCAGTTGAAATTAGGAATGGCTGTGCATAGATAGTTCTTGTGTAGCATTGTATAAAAATCTGAAACAAAGAAACTCGCTATGAAACTAAACATTAATAAAATGGGGCCTAGTCTGAAAGAGTAGAGAAGAATAGGAATAGGCTTCAAATAGCATTATTTTATTTCTAGAAGGCTTACCATAACTGGAATTGGTAAAAGTTAACATTATATCCTCTATTATTTCATACTATATGCTTGTGAACTTCTTTGTTTGAGCTAGCAGCGTCAAACATAGCAAGTGAACTAGAGGTGGCCCAGGGTTTCATTATCTATGTGTAGATCTCCTACCAAGGGGGACTGAAATGTGCCTGGCAGTCAATACCACAATTCATTGGTAAAAGAGTAGCCCAAGAGTTGGTGGTGATGAATAGCTGCCTTCCCTCTAGTCTTTTACTGCTAAATTATGGAAGGCTAGTGCAGATAGCCCTCATGCAGCTTTGCACAAAATTCAAAACAAACCAAACCAATCAATTAAAAAGAAAAGTAGAGAGAAAGAGAGCTATTCAAATAAAACAAGGGGGAATGAGTTTCTATTTCTGTTGAGGCTTGAATTTTCGTTTATAATATGTATACTTTCTTTTATCATCAGTTTGTGATCATTACATCCAGAAGCTAGAATTTGAAAAGTTTTCTAAGGAAATGGTGTGCGATGGTATTTCGTTGTGAGAATATATAAGACAGTTAGGTAGAATATGATGTTTAAGTCTAGTTCTGTTAGAAACTCCCATGTGTTCTTAAGGAGCATATTTGTAACTGGTGAGAAGTCTTGCCTATATATTTATATAACACCCAAACATAAAATTCACTTATGAAACTGAAAATCAGAACAAATTTTCTTTCTTTGTCATTCAAGTTCAAAAACAAGACAACAAATTTAGCACCTTTGTTAACAAAAAGAAAACTTTGAATGTTTTCTGCCAAAATCATTCAAACTAAACTTAGTCTTAACTCTTCTTCACAGGGCCTACTCAGTCTGTTTGGATTACATCTCTATTGATAATGAAATAACTTTCCTTCAGAGCACCTTAAGAAAAAAATTGGTATTGTCAGAAACTTAATTTTTAGTAATATTTAGAGTAATGTTTCTGTGTGTGTGTTGGCTAAGGACTCTTCTACAGTAGTTGTCTGTGACTTGTTGATGATCAATTTTATAATAAACAAACAGCATGCACTCCACTTGTTTTCAAAATAATATTTATATTAAAAACAAGTTAAACGTATATATATATAATTCTTTACACTAAGGAGATCATAGTTGTATCTTAAACACCATACAGTTCTCTTCTTCTTGCCAAAAACCCACTTAGGCCAGTTCAATTGCTTTAGGATTCAGATGACAAGCCAACCTATTTTTTCTTTATTTTTATTGCAATGGTATCTGTATATAATTCACTTACCCTGTCGTGTGAGTTACCACAGTTGTATTCTGTATTTCCAATAATCGTCTGCTCTAATCGTCAAAGTCCACACAGTCATGTTCAATTAGCTTAAAACACCCTTTGACAAAACAAATGATTTTCCCTATCTCTTTCAAACTATTAATCTCACTCTAACATATCAACCGTTAGACCTTTCACTCCTATGATGGTTAAGTTTTTATTTTCTAACTTTTCTCTCACCAAATTTCTCTTTCCCATGACTTTAATTTTTACTCTTTCCATTTCTGCTTGTCTGGTTGCCATTATTTAAACGTCTGTCACTCAGGCCTTCTAGAAATATCTGTAGCCTCGATATCAATGGATTGCACACAATGTTTGATAGCCTTGACATCAATGAATTACAAGCACAAAAAAAAACAATTAATACTACTACTTACACTAAACAGTCTTTTACATCTGACAGGTATCCTTCAGCCTTACTAGAAAACTTAACATGTAACTTTCTCACAAAGAACAGAACTACACCAAATAATATCCAAATATGTTCTAAATTTCCTCTAACACTTGTTATTGCTTACCTTGGAAAACAAAATTTTATTGTTAAAACCCAACTCAACAAGCTACTCAGGTCCTACTACCAGATTAAACTCTGTATTCCTTTCAAATTGTCACTTTGTATCAGTAGCTTTTTTAGAACTAAAGATGATTTACCTTCACTGTTATGTTCAAAGGTTGTATATAAACATACATGTGGTAGCTGTAAAGCCACATACATAAACAAGACTTCTTACCATTTACAAATAAGCACCTTAGAACACATGGGAGTTTCTAACAGAAATGGACTTAAACTTCAAATTCCACCTAACTCTCTTGTATATTTTTACAACGAAATATCATTGCACCCCATATCCTTAGTAAACTTTTTAATTCTAACTTTTGGATGTAATGATCACAAACTGTTGATAAAAGAAAGTCTACATATTAGGAGCAAAAATCCAAGCCTCAATAAAAATTCAAACTCATTCTCCCTTTCTTTCTTCAAATAGCTCTCTCTCTCTTTTGAATTGAATGTTTTATAATTTTTCTAATACCATTCATTGTATTTTTATATAAGTAATTGTTCTAAAGATTGTTCAGTTTGTCATTTTGATAGATTTACTGAAAATGGAATATGTGTATTTCCCAAACATTCATTAAAGATGTTTACAATTGTTGCCGTTGCTCTACTATTCATTATTAGACTTTTTTTTCCATCAAATGTATCAACCACCAGTGGTGAGTTGAATTTCAAAGTTATCCTATGAACAAGCTGTTTAAAAAATGAAATAGAACATCGTCAGAGTCATGAAAATGAATGTACGTAGTGGGTTTTTTACCTTGTTTGGTACTGCCTACTCACCTATTTATGCTGAAGGTTGTGAACACGTTTTTAGTGGTTGAAATATTGATCTAGTAGGTTGTAGGCTAGTCGGTATTTATGTTATCTGATTAAAAACATATTTTTGAATTAATATAAGCTACTACAAAATATTAAAGTTACATGGTTTTATAGTTAAATTGTTCTTTTACCAAATGAATAACAGAGTTGAAACTAAAGTATAGTTTGGGAGTACTATTTATTCACTGAATACATTCATTGAATCACTTTAATTGACAGTGCCTTGTTTTTATAACCTGTGTTTAGTTTGCCTGAAAGAATAAAAGCAAAAAATAGAGACTGATTTTTGAGTATGGCCCTGTCTGACATTAATACAGTTGCATGGTGGTTTAAAAGGTTTTATGGGTTTTAGATCACAAATTCTTGTCTGCCACTTCATGACTTCTTGTATTTCTTTTTCTGTATGTCCATTACATTTCTTTCAGCATAACATCAGGCATTATGACAAGGACTGGTAGATGTGTTCTTTCATTTGACCATCTAATACTATACTAATATGTCAGTGAGGAGTAGACCTTCTTTAGATGTGTTCTTTCATTTGACCATCTAATACTATACTAATATGTCAGTGAGGAGTAGACCTTCTTTTTGACCATCTAATACTATACTAATATGTCAGTGAGGAGTAGACCTTCTTCATGGAAACACAATTAGATGTGTTCTTTCATTTGACCATCTAATACTATACTAATATGTCAGTGAGGAGTAGACCATCTTCATGGAAACACAAATAGATGTGTTCTTTCATTTGACTGTCTAATACTGTACTAATATATCATTGAGGAGTAGACCTTCTTTGTAGAAATGTAATTAGATGTGTTCTTGCATTTGACCATCTAATACTGTAATAATATGTCATTGAGAAGTAAACCTTCTTTGTGTAAATGCAGTTAGATGTGTTATTTCACCTATACTGATATCTCCTGATATAACCGAACTTCTATCAAAAGGTCATACTCTCAGTTTTAAATTGGGCTCATTAAATTAGTTGGTAATAACCCTTTGCAGTCATGAAATCCATTGGCAGTGAACCGGCAATTTCCAGTTGTGTAAAATAATGGTCATTAAGTGATACAGTTGTCATTCCACAATTTTCTCCAGACTGTCTGGTGTACAGACTCATTTTCTGACAGCATGTCCACTACCTTCTCTGTATGATCCTATATACTCTTAGATAACCTGGCATTTATTTTTGTTTGTCTAGCTTTCAGTATTTGAATATCTTTGACAGTCTCTACTTCTGACAAAAAACTTCACCCCCCATCACCGAGTAACATTGTTATACAGTTATGATGTAAATAGAAACACTGTGTAAAATGACAGTAGTCATCCAGTTATCAAATCATGACAAATATAAAGTACCGATAATAAATAATTTATCAATATTTCAAATTGAATTCAGGCTTAATTTTCAGATTGTATGTAGATTATATATTGCGATACCCAAAGACTTTTATGTAACATGAATATATTTCAGTTATTTAATTACTGTAAAAAATATTTAAGGTTGAAAAAAAATTAATATTTACTGTTTTAACATCAAATGTTTAGTGTTTGAGTGTTGTATTTGTTGTAAAAATTATTAACATTTAAAGATGTCATTTCAGGTTGACTATGTTGAATTGTAATGTTGTATATGTACATAAAAGTAATTTCTTTTCTTTAAATTAAATGCATGCAGAAAGAGTAGGGTAAATTTGATACTTTAGCAGTGTCAGATACATATTTGATTATATTTATCCACTCATCTTTCAGAGATTTTGCAGTGCTTAGATATTTATAGGGTAGTTCCTCATAATTTTTAATCTTAATAAAACACCAAATAACATATGTAACTCACAGATTATTTACAAAAAAGTTGTATATACATTTAAACATTTCTTAGTAATGTTTCTTCCAGGTGTGAACCTACATGTAACAACAATTAAAGTTTACTATTATACATTCTACTATCAAGTAGATAATGGTTTTGTAATTTGGTAATAAATAAAAGAAATTCTGATTGTAATTATAATTTTTCAATTAGGGTGAAGAGTTCCTAGTCTAAGCATTATTATGAACTGGTATTTCACTACCATATATAGGCTGTTTTATCAGGTTATTTAACATTACTCACATATTTTTAGGTCCACTGTTAGAGAAAGATGCTATCCTTCAAGAAATGCCAAATGTTGTCTTAGCTTTACACTTATTGCTTGAGTATTTTGATCCTGAATCTTTCTGGCAGCCATATCTTTGTATCCTTTTTCAAATTCTGTTTATTTAAATTTTATCCAATACTGATAAGTTTCATTTTGAGAATACCTATGTAGTGAAATATGTATTATTAAGCATTTTTCACAAATAGTTACAATGTGTATTGTGTTTTCATCCATATTACATGTAAAAAAACTTATTTCATGTGAAGAACCCCTAGTAATTTAATGTCTATTCTTATTTACATGAGCGTTACAATTCTGAACTGGATGTGTACTTGCTGCTTTTTGTAACTGCATGACTAGCTCTTTTGTCCTACTATATTTCTTTTATAAAAGACTATGGTATTCATAAACAGATACCAGTTCATTTGTTGTTTGTGTGAAAACCTAGCTAAAAGATTTTTCAAAACATACAATAGTTTTAGACCTTCCTATTAGGAAATGGAATATAATTCAAGTTTTTATGCAAATTAGCAAAATAACTACACAAATGTCTTTATGCAGGAACTTCTTTATGACATTTTTTTTGTGAATCAAAGTGTATGAATTGAAACTTTTGTTGTATATATTTACAAGAAATTAAAGTCAGCAGGAAAAGTTATGTTTATTATTGAGGATTAGAAAGTGTACAAACTAATCTTGTAAAGGAAAACTAATCTTATATCAATTTTAAGCAGGTCTATACCAATAAAATATGTTTATAGTAAATTTGTCTAGGATTTAAATGAAGAAAAGCAAACATTTTGGAATCACTTGAAATTCTTACGTATACTTACAGATTTAACTTTGGTGTTAATAAAAAATTGTTTCACCAGTTTATGAAAATAATTGATAGAAGAACCAAGGTCAGAGTTTAGTGTAGTCTTTGATGTATTTTAGTTGATTAATAATGAAATTACTTTATCTGTAGCTGCATTTTGACTACATGAAAGACAAAACTTTGTACAGCAATACATGCATGTGTATTAACTATGGAAACTAATTATAATTACTTCTGATTCTTTGACTGATTCTGAAAAATTCTTGAGGTGGGACACTTGCTAAAAATTGAATATTTTAAGTATTGAAAATAGTATTATGTATGTTAGTCTTAATGAACATTTTTAATATTGGGGGAAAGACTTCTTTAATGATTCCTTAACAATGCTACAGCAATTCTCCCAGCTGAATATAATACATCTTTGTACTTCACTTGTGAAGAACTGGAAGAATTACAAGGCTCACCAGCACTAGGTTTATATCAGGAATTCACTTTTTTACTGCTAAGAGTGATTAAATAAATACTTTCTGATAATTTTTGTTACATTTTCTGACAGATGAGTTTCTAATTTATGAAACAAAATTTATTTAGTTATTTGAATACATATCAAAGGGTATATAACATACAAAAGTATTTCGTTGTAGTGAGTGATCAATGACAATATTCAGTCAGATGGCAATCATAAATCCAATAAAAGATTGATGGCAAAGCTATTGTAATATGCAGTATAAATTTACCTGAAGGTGGACGTAGGCAAAGTCTGAAAGCTTTGCAATTAATATTTCAAAGAAATGAGTGCCCATCGTTGTTGTTAGTTTTTGATTTTTCAATTTGAAATTAAAATGGAGAGTTGTAAATATCTTGATATACCAGTACATTCTAGGCTACTGTTATTACTTTTAAAATATAAAGTAGTGGTATACTTAATATTTTATATCCTTGAGTCTAATTTTTGCTAAACTTATACTAAATGATGTTTGATATAATTGACTGTAGGCCAGAAAAAGTTCTACATTATTTTTGAAAACATTAAATATTTTACATTTCAGCTGCATTTTTATGAATGTGTGTACATATGTATAATTTCTGTGATAAGAGGTTGTAGTTTAAATTTACTGTTTAATACATAAAACAAGTTTGTGTTTCTTGATGTTTTATTACCAACTTGGACTTTATATTTTTTGTACACTAAAATTATTAACATGTTTTTTCTATTATGAACTTTTAAATGCTAGTTTAATTGTCTCCTTTTATGGATATGAGATGTTAAGATACTCTTGTTGAATTTCTAGGGTAACTTTGCATTGTATGTATATTTATTATTGTAAATTTTTCATAAATTTATTGAATTAATTCCACATTTAGAATGACAATCAGAACTTGAGATCTCCTTAATTGATCTGAGGTACTAGTCTCTATAAAATTTCAGAGATTGCTGTTTTGATCTTGTTTTTATTTTTTTAATCTGTGATATTAATGAATCTTCTGTTATGTTGTAGATCTTTCCAGGAAAGCTAACTGTACATGATGTATATTATTTTCTTTATCTTCCAAAGACTCTATAGAATTAATTCCATATCTCACTGATGCCAATCTTCAGATTTCAGTTTTTTATAGTTGTAGAGATTAATGTAACATTAATCTTCAGCACAAAATGGAAAGATTTCTTTGGCAGACATCTTCAAGTTATGATGGAGTGTGATTGAAATTAGTCTTATTTAAGTCCATATGATAGCTTGTAGTGTTTGATAGCCTAACAATGATATTATCTTAGGAATGATATCATAAACAGACAATACAGTATTGTTATATCTGTTCCATGAGAAGTACTCATGACACTAGTATTCTATCTAATACAACTGTTGATCCTTTAAGACATAACTTGGTACATCTTCTCAATGCATCAGTGCTCGGTTGCGAGTTGTCATAACTTCAAGTTTATATTTTTTTGTCTTTTGTATTAGATAATAATTATTATATTTTCAACTACCCTCAGCAACATTTGAGGAAGAACATTTCAAGCATTCCAATATGCATGTGAAACTTTATCAGCTGCATTGTATTCATTCCTCAGTGGCCTCTTTATCTAATACATTTTAAAAACCAATATCAAATTTTGAATAAGGTTGACTGTGGTACAGCCTATAATACAAACATTTCTTTTGTTTTGTCTAAGGTGATGATTTACCAGGAATTTAGATGTTGATTACAGTCAGATCACTTACTTTAAAGTTGTATGTGCACAGGTCGTTTCCTTTACTGCTCAAATAACACTCCTAAAAATCGTTTTTTAGCTTAAATAATGTAAAGATAAGATATGTCTTTCATAATTATTTGATTGCTTTTAAAATTGTCTTTGACACTCCATAAACTTTTTGTATAGAGGAGACTGTGAAGACCTCCCGAAACATTGCCAGACAGTATGCTCATTTCTATAAAACGTTTCAAGTGGGTATTTTTTTTAAATGAAAGTTTAGTTGGAGTGTATTATGTGGATAGATTTAATGAACTTAGAAATTTTTTACATAATGATAAAATATTTAATGTTATTAATAATTGTCTGGGTAACAGCTGTTATTCTGCAGGTTATTGAATTCAGCTATTTATTTTTTTGACTGACTGTTCACATGAATATATAAAAAATCATTTCTTTAGTTGTAGATAAAAAAAAATTAATTTCATTTTCTGTGGATTTTGTATATCACACTTTGCTGAAATATCATACTGGATTAAACATGTACTTATAGTAAGAACTACCTTTACTATTTAATAGAAACCATACTTAACCAGTTTTATAAAACTTCTACACATATTTATAAAGTAATTAGTTTTTGTCTAATTACAATAAATATGCCTGTAAAATATAATGCATATTTTTCTACATTAAACAGTGTGTTTATACAGTAATCATAATAAGTGTTTCTACCATAAAGAGAGAAAGATAATACTTACAATTAATATCCTTTGTATGTATGTATTTACATATGTGTGTGTACGTATTGAGCCATCTGTAATTGTCACATTGAGGCTTGTTCAGTAGTAGGAACATATTGTTTGTGAATTTGGAAAGGCATTAAAATAACTTAAAATAATTATAAATAATTTGTTGTGTTTTTGCACACTGTAATAATCAGTGAAATGTACCATTTTTAGAGGTCTTGAATACTCAGGTGTGGTATCATCTTATCAGCTTGACTTTAATCTTAGAGCAAAAATTACCAAAGGCATAAAGAAAAATAATAGATTATTAAAAAAACTTAACTCAAATGTCCTAGTACTGTATTTTCATCCAATGTATTGTTTGAGATTTGATAAATAAAAATTTTTCACTTTTTTGGAACTTTTTATATAATTAATAAACATCAGTTCTTAATTTTCAAGTAGAAATCAAGCAAACTTTAGGAATAAAAAGTCATAGAAAGGGGGGCAAGTATGATATTTTAGAAACAAAAATAATACATTACAATATAATTTAAATAATCATTGTGAGATTGAAAATTAATTTTTATATTGAACAAATGTTTACTAACAAAACCACGACGTATAAAAGGAGTGAGTAAAATTCCAAAAGAAAAGAGAGAGAGAGAGAGAATAAATAACTTGGAAATCTAGAAAAAATTGCTAAATAAGATACTTGAAAAAACAGTTTTGAAACTGATTGTAAATCCGTAATATAAAAGAAAATTAATGCAATATAAAATATTCTCTGACTAAAACTTTTATGGTAAAAGAGTAGTAAAACTCAAGTAGGTATTCTAATTTACTATAATTTTTGAAAATATGCGAGGTATTTATAGAAATGTTATTAGAATCAAGATTACAATTTCTGTTTTGATTATGTATAAGCATTTTGGAAAATATTTCTTGCCTACATTTGTGAGGAAAATAATGTAAATGTGTAGAATCTTTGAGTATATAAAACAACTGTTGCTGTTTAGAGTATGAAGCTGGTAAAATTGACAGAGATTTATATATGGTAATTCTAGATGAATAAAATCAAATAATTTTCTGTTTAAAATTCCAACGAATCTTCCAAATTTGGTATTTTTTAGGATAAATATATTATTATTATATTGTTCTCCAAATGTTTGTTGAATTGGATTATTACTCTGAATATGTTCAGTCAACTGGAGTATTGTGGCAAACTGTATTTAACACTGTAGTTTGGTTAAAAAGGAAAGCTTTTTATGCTGATTATAAAATGAGGTAAAATATTAACAATAATATAACTTTGCATGTATTTAATGGGATAAAAATAATAGATAATGTATGTTTTTATAATAGTATGAAATTTATCAAATGACATTGCTTTTTTGTTAATTATTGTACAAAGACAAAACTAAGTAGGTAAGTGTTCAAAATGCTTGCAACTTACTCTCTTAATTTTGCTAAAATAAAGACTAAGCAAGAAAATAGCTCAGTCTAGCTAGTTAAAAAAGGATAAAGATGTTAGTAACAATACATTGGAAAATGATGTCCTCTGTTATTTCCCCCTTCTCATATATATAACTGTTTAATTTTTTATTTTTTATTAGTATTTCAGTGAAGTAATTCATCCTTTTGCTTATGTTTAAATTTTGAAATAGATTGAATACAGTAAATAAGCTTATAATCTTGTTTTTACTATCTTTACTAATAGTTATGGATATATATATATATATTTTGTATTTTCAGTCTAATCCTGCAGCAAAAAGTTTACTGCTAAAAGACTTCTTCACATATGACTTTTACAGGTAAGTTAGTCATGAATTGTTTGCTTTAAGGTGTTGAAGTATGGGTAGTGCTGTCATAATTAATGCAAGTTACATTTGTGTAACTAAATAGTGTGTTTTTCAAGAATTTTTTTCTGCTACATAATAGTAGATTTTTTTTTTCGTTTCACAAATTTTTTTTTAATATTAATGACACATTTTCAAATTATCATCTTAAAAAGTTACCAGAATTTGTTGAGTAAAATTAATGTTTTGTTTTTAATAATTATTTGAAATAAACTTTATAATAAAATTCATTGAAAGTTAAGAATCACATCTTGAAAGATTATATTGCATTTATTGGTATGTATTTAAACTTGTTGAGAGCTTTAACTAATTCCTATTGACTGTAGATGAACTTATGTCTTAATTTTCTGATTTAAATCATGGAATAATGTTAACTGCAATTTTTTTGTTTTCTTGTGTGTTTATATATTTCTATGAAGTGTGGAATTTTAGAGTTTATGTAGTCTTGTACCCTTAGCTGATTTTCCTCCTAATGTTTGTGGATTATTTTTTCATGAAAATTGTTCTTTCACTTTTAATCATGGGCAGGAGAAGAGGAACTTCTATTTCTGAGTAATCATGCTTTCCTCCTGAACACCGATCATGCATTTCAGTACAGTTTAACTGCAACAGACTTGCGTAACATCTTATGAACTAAATTTCATTTTGAAGCATAGAACTTAAGCATTAAGGCGTCTGAAATATTCAGGTGTTACAAACAATTTTATCAATACAACTGTGTTTTGTATTAACCCTTCTATTGTGGGCTGGGTAGAATTTGTGTAATTTCTATATCCTTCTGAATAATCATCAAACATTTTTTAAATAAAACTATATCTAATCTGTTATTTTATCAATATCAACTCTATATGGTGTTGATCTATTTGACTGACCTCACAACCATCATAAAAATTAGGAAATAAAATCTAAATTACCTTTTTTGTTCTAGAATAACTGCAAATTGTAATAGGAAACCACAAATGTTTATTCTAAATAGCTTAAATCTCTAAACAGTATAAATCTATTTATATTTAATAATTTTTGTTTTATTGACCTTTGAATTTGTCAAAATGTTAATCAGCAATTGGCCAGCATTTACTAGTGAACCCGACTTGTGCTGACAACTACATGGATAGCAGGTTTAAAATTAATGCAAATGGTCTGTCAACCTTTCATCTCTATATTTTGGAAGCCACCTTTATTAACACACATAAACCTGTCCTTTGCTTCCAAAAAGAATTCCTATACATTCCTATATCATGTGCTACTCAAAGTATTGGAAGCAATTTAAGATGAATGAGTAGTATTTATCTTACTTTATCTTTTGTATAAAACTAAACTGACCTTCTTTTACAAATTATATACAGCTGTTTTAAAAGACCCAGAATAAGCCCTCTACGTAACCTGAGAGCTTTGCTGGCATCATTCTCAAGGCCAAATCAGATTTCACAATAGGAATTTTTGCTTGTTAAAATTTTTTACAAAGCAATTATTTCAATAAAATAAACACACATGGAAACCTATTAAGCTATTTTATTATTATTTACCATGGTATAGAAACAGTACCAAACATTTGGTAACTTACATTATTTCGAGGCACTAGCATCATACAGTTTCAAGACATATGAAGTGAAAATTTTAAAAATTTACAATCACATAAGGAAGAAAGGGTGCTCCACAGCAAATACATTGTGAGAGAGAAAATAATATAAGCTTTCAGATGATATATTTATTATTTTATTAGCATCAGAAACTTGGAAGTTGTAAAAGAAAACATGTAAAGAGTTGAATTTTACATTTTTAACCACCAACTTCAACATCTTCATTCTTTTCAAGCTGTTTGATAACTAACATACTGATCCTACATTAGTAAAAGTATCATCTTATGCAAAAACATTATCTACTCATGCTGGTAATCAAAGGGTTGAATATTCATGAAGTACTTCCTTGGAAGAAATGTCAACTGCACCTGCTTTTCAGTTTGGTTACTGAAAAATTAATTGTTTTGTTCAGATAATTTTGTAACTCTAAATTTCCTTGGAAGTATTAAGATTTCTAGGACCTGTTGTTGAAGTATGCTCAGAAGATTTATTAAGAATGTTGAATCAGTTTGAGATAAAAATAACACTTATCAACTAAGGCAATTTGATCTTGTTAGTATGTTTATTTAAATTCTACTCTGACATAAAACAAGTTTGGAAATGTTTCAAACTACAAATGAGTTAAAAAGTTTGATTTTAATAAATTTTCTTGACTTTATAGATGGGCAGTATCAACGGTAATGACAAGGCAAAATTCTGTTCCGACACCAGATGGGGCTTCAAGAATCCAAGCACTCATTCCTTTGTGGGACATGTGTAATCATGTAAATGGAATAGTGAGTACTTTTATAAATTTGGTTAAAGTCCTTGGACAATGAAACCCAGCATAATAATTTTTGTTATATTATAGGTGAGTGTAACAGACCAACTACAACATAAGGTGTGAAAGTATAGCAGAAAACAAAAAAAAACAACATAAAATTACAAAAGAGCATTGTTTCATCCATTAACCCTCGTCTACCCAGAGAGTTCTTACAGATATCTCCTTTTCTTTTCTCACAATGAAAATAAATTCTTAATCAAATTGTATAGAACTTGGTACAAACTTTTTAGAAAAATTTCTAAAATTTTATTTTGCATTATTATTTTTTTTTAGTTGTGAAATTTTATTGTGAAAAACAATGAAATATTTCCTTTCTTTTGAGATTATTTTTATTGATCAATTTTATATATTCAATCAGATATTATTTGATATTCTTCAGTATATTTATTTTGATACTTTTTTTGCTAATTGAAGTAGTCAACTTACCAATATAAATCACACAAACATGTTGTGACAGACAGTTTTACAGATGCACAGTAATTTCATCTTTCATCATAGTTGAAACACCTTGATCTTTGTTAGACATGATAATGTGACATTTACCAATCAATATTTTGGTCAAGATCAATTTTTATCTAATAATTATAGCTCATTTTCAATAGATACTAAGTTATTTTATTTGTTTGTGTTGTTTGAACACAAGAGCTTTAATATTCAATGAAAAAAGGATTAATGTAATGTGAATAACTTGCCATTGCAAGTCTTTGCTTACCATACTCACTAAACCTTGGTATCCTTGTCTGATTTTTTATCATAGTAAAATATTCCCGTAGTTTTCAAACAGGCAAATGTAACATGAAACTTTATCTTGAATGAAACTAATGTTATCAAAAACTATGAAAAGAAACTGCAGGATTACATAGCACTCCCTTCTGACGATTATTGGCTTAGCCTCTATCATTTTCAAAACTGAAACCAAAGTTCTGAAGACCTCTCCATGTAATGCAATAAGTGAGTTCAAACAATAAATTTGAAGAAAATGTAAAAAAAATAAAAATTTCGAGGTAACTGAAAATATTGAGATCTGATTGGAGAAATAAGTGACAACATCCATTAGTTTAGAAAGAGTTGAAAGGTTATTAATATTTTTAATTTATGTTAAACTTGAAATTTTAATAGAGTGTTTCACTAGAGAAGAATTTGAAGTTACCCTACTAGTTTTGAATTGTTAATGCTGGGGACTGAGTTATTGCAATTATATAGTTACAACATTTACTATAAGCATAAACAGATAATGGCTTGTTTATTTCTTAACTCTTTCACTATGGGCTCGGTCCCAACGACTGACCTCGTAACCATGTTGTGCTTGTTATAGTTTTCATGCTATAACTTTTAATACAGTAAGTGTATCTTCACGAAATTTCAGGTTATCAGCAAACATTACAAGGCTTTCATATACAAAATATCAGATTTTTGTATAATATTTTAAGATGTTTTAAGTAATGATTTGCTCATGCATTTTTTCTTTTTGAATGTTGACTATCCATCATGCAAAGTAATTTTGATTTTAAGATTAATAATGCTTTAATATATCAGAAAATTTTCAAATTTCACATGCAAAATCTTTATAACCTTCAGATAATTATCAAACATTTAAAAAAAAAACTTTATATTTTATCTGTTATTTTCACCATTGTATATCTGTACATGGTATGTTGAAAGTAGCATTGGTTCAAATTAGATGTTTGTGATGTCCAAATTCAAATAAAGTTTCTTACGAAATAAGACCTCAAATTACTGATATTGACAAACTAGAATATATAATAAGAACCTTCTATCTTTTCTGTTTGCTGAGATATTACTACATTTACTGAATCAAACACAGTGGCCCTTGCCCACCTATTTCCATTTTTAGAAACACATGCTTACACACACCTACTTCTATCTATGATGTGTGAATAACCAATTGAAGGCTCAGAATGCTCACCCCCCCTAGTGACTTTCTCATCCTCTTTTAAGTATTTGGGCAGCAAACTCGTTCATTTTTTGGAAATACTTGTTTATGTACACGTAGTTCTGTGTATGAAGTGTGAATAACCAATCAAAAGCTCAGAATGTCCCCCTAGAGACTTTCTCAGCCTCTTTTAACTATTTGGGCTGCAAACTCGTTCATTTTTTGCTAGATTTCAAGTGGTAAGGTAAGACTTTAGTGAGCTTTTAATTTCATACTTTTTTAGACCCAAATACAGCTTGGTTACTAAGCTCGGTAAATTATAGTGGAATTCTTTCGTATTGATATAGTAACTTATGGTTCTTGGGTATTTCAAAATGTATATATAAAACCAAAAAAAATTATTTCGTTTCACATCTTCCATGTGCGAAATTTGATAAGGCTTAGCAACTTATGGCAAGTAGCAAACAAGTACAAAGTTTGTAACTAGAAGAGATAATAGTGTGCTATACTTCTTTATTTACTGTTTTGTGTTTTAAGAAAAATAAGTTTAAGAACTTATTTATAAATAGTAATAATTTATATACATGTTTAATGTATTATAACTGAAATATGACTGTATTTTACAAAATACTAGTCCACTAAAATGCAGCCGAGAGAGGTCACTTTGTAAAGGCCAGTTTTATATTCTTGGATGCAGTAATATGAGTGCACATACACTATGTCTTTGCAACTGCTGTAATGTTAGCCAAGCATGGCTGAAAGGTCAATATAATAAAATATGAATATATATATATATAAATGTATAATGTTGTGAGATTTAAGCTATTTAGACTAAACATTTGTGTTTTCATGTTGTAATTTTTAGTCATTCTTGAACAAAAAAGCATAACTTATATTTATTTCCTAATTTTTTATTGTGGTTATGAGGTCAGTCAAATTGACCGAACCCATGTGTCGATCCGATAGTGAAAATAACAGATAAAAAATAAAGTTTTTTTGAAAAAAACATTTGATAATTATCTGGAGGTTATAAGGATTTTGTCATGTGAAATTTGAAAATTTTCTGATGCATAAAAATATTTTTAATCATAAAATCAAAATTACTTTGCATGTTGGATAATCAACATTTGAAATCAGCACTGGATAAAGAAGCAATGGCCATACAGAGTCAGCCTGATACCATGATCGAAAAACAACTTGAAAGTTTGGTTGACACAAAAAAAGTCCTCTTATCTGCACTTCACATTAACCTGGGCTTAATGAAGCAGTTTGTAGAGGCCTTAGACAAAGATGGCGACTGTGTCAAGTATCTATGTGGGGAATTTTCAGCTCTTTCAGAAGTGAAACTTAAAGAAGAGATTTTTATTGGGCCTCGGATTAGGAAACTGACTTTGGATGAACAGTTCGAAAGGACAATGCAGAAAGTTCAAAAAGAAGTGTGGATTGCCTTTAAAGATGTTATTGAACATTTTTTTAGGAAACAACAAAGACCCAAATTATGAAAATATTGTCAGTAACATGCTTGATAAATTCAAAGAGTTGGGTTGTAATGTGAGCTTGAAAGTTCATTTCTTACACTCACGTATTGACTATTTCCCTGAAAATCTTGGTACCGTCGGTGAAGAACAAAGGGAAAGGTTTCATCAAGACATCAGGGAAATGGAGAGGAGGTATCAGGGAAGGTGGAACATCAGCATGATTGCTGATTATTGCTGGTCATTGGAACAAGATGTTCCAGATGCAATATATAAAAGAAAGACCACAACACGTAGTTTTCAGACTAAAAGACCTAGATTTCACAAAAAAATCAGGATGAATGAGGATGAATATTTAAGTATTTTTGTTAACAAACATAATAATAAAAGATGTTCACTGTGGTAAAGGAAATAATAATTTGATCTAAGTAAGAGTTTTTTTTTTCTTCCTGATTTGTAAAAAATTTGTACATGATAGAAAAACATGAATATTATTTTTGAAATTTGCGTAGCTGAATTATAGAAAATCCATTATTAAAACCAAAAGAACTTTTATGAAGTTTAAATTCACAAGCCTGTGTTATTAAATGTAAGTTGTTCTTGATTAAGAATACTTTTAATAAAAATATTGTTACTGAGTATAACCTGACACTATTTTGAAAAGTCTGGGCCTAGATCACTGATAAATTGTTGTCAGTTTATGCAGGTTTTTTTTCTACAGTCTATATTTAGAAGTGATGACTACTGCAATTCACAAAATAAAGTATCAAAAGAGATATGTTACCGAATATCAATAAAGTTGGAATTTTGCAGTCAACATTTAAAAAAAAATTAAATTTAAGATAAAAAGAAGTATTTTAAATGTTTGTTCAAAATGGTGCAACTTGGTTAATTATTTACATTATGAGAAGGAAAGAGATCAAGGTATATCAGTGGTCCTGAAAGAGTTAACCAATATTTCTGGTGCTTTGACGAAGCTTTCATATTTTTGTCAGTACACAAGATGGTTAATTATGGTTTAAACTTAATGGAGATGTAAGATCTACATGGTTAAAGCTTAAGTTTTAAATATACAGAAAGATCACCTGGAATGCTTCAGTGATATTACCTGAAAGATGAGTAGAATTTATTATTATTATTATTATTATTAGGTATCTACAGACTTCAATATTGAGAAGAATCAACTGGAATGCTTTGCCATGAAAAATGTAAATGTAGGAGAACAGGTAAATCATATTTTCAATTTGTTGTATTAGAATAGATCTTGTTTAGTAACAGATTTTATCAAATATAGTTATTATAATTTTTGGTTTTGGAAAATTAATTTTAAAATCAATTTATCTAAAATTGTTGAAGATGTATGTAGAAAAAGAATGTTTTTGAGAAATGTATGCTATAGGCTTGCTTGTGTTGTCACTTTCACAAATATGTACTCAACTGTGGTTTCAGTGTCAAGGATTTTATTAAAAGTTTTCACTTTTAGAATAAAATATTCAATCAGTGATGTTCATTGGTTTCATTAAAATTTGGATCAAGTTGCCTTTTATTTACTAAGTATGTAGGCATTTTATTTTTAGAATTAATGACATAGTTTAAAGGAAAAGAAATTAATTTGGAATGATAAAACAACTTGAAATAAAAGTCAGAGAACTGAAAGTAATTTTCTTATTTTTAAGGGACAGGAAAATAAAAAACTGTAAAAGTACAAAAATTCAAATTTTATTCATAGGTTTAAAATTTGTGGTTTACTTGTTAATTTGGTCATTTCAAATGCTGTAGTACAAATGATTTATCTCTCACACATATACACTAATAGTGGTATTGTTACAATGTACTTTTTAAAGTAAGTGCAATGAATTTGAAATTATTTTGTATTTAGTTTCAAGTAATGTGTTTATTTAATATGTATTTGTGGTTACTGTTCATATTATGGGTGTCCAAATAGTTTTCACAAAATTAATCAAATGGAAGATGTATACATGCTGTTGCTATACCTTGATATTGCTGACACTATTGTTTGTTAGAATAATAAGGGACTTACAATAAATTTTGCTTTTTAATTACTTTAACATTATACATAAGAAATAAACAAATCAAATATACAAATATAGCATGAAAAAATGAAATGAGAGGCACAAGTGAAATAGTTCAAATAGGTTTAAATTCGGTGAAGAC